AAAAATAGTTGACCTCAAACTGACCTTGAAGGTCGGGCCAAGGTCAGATCCACGGTCACCATTGGATATTCGGGGAAAAACATGGAAATAACGTCTCGGTAGTGTCCCTATACGACTACTGGCATACAAGTTGTATCACCTTACTGGATTTGACCTTGACAATGTCCTCCTAAGGTCAAAATTTAAAAAATGGTCAAGACCATATTTGAACGTAAAATGTTTCGCTCTTTTCATTTACGAAGTCAAAAATGGGGAGTTTCATTCATTGAATCATCATTAGTTCACAAATTATCGTGGGGTTCCACAACTTTTCACACACCCTGTATAAACTGCCCTATGGATGACGGTTCTATGGACAGCCCAGTGTGACGAAACCTGAATAGAATTGTGTATCCATATAAGCATAATACGAATTGCTTAGCGAACGTACTTGGCCGATCAAAGATAATATAGTTAGTGTTAAGATATGATACATTCGGGAAACTACTGTAACTACGGTGATTTAGCAACACTGCTTGAATGTGCAAGGTGAACGTATCTGACCTGGCGTCGGCAGGTTGAAGGGCGTCGCAATCATTATTCGCTTCGCCAACTTGATACGAGGTGACCATCATATTATCATCGCCATAGGTCTGGATTTCAGGACAATAGGCGTTCTTAAAGTGGCATAGAGACTATTCTGAACGTATTGGATCTTTCGCCAAAAATACGTACAAATCATGTTGTGACGTGCCAAAATCACGTAACCTTTTTTTTTTACTATTTATCACTTAACCGTAATTTGAATTTCTCTTCATTGATAATGTGCCTATTCCTAGGCCAATCCCTTTTCAATGATTTTCTTTTGGCAAATTTAATAGTTTATTGATTGTATAATTTCGCGATTCAGTATGGTGTACGATCAGCAAAAAAACTCTGTAGTTTTTCTCCGTTAGTTGGTTTCCTATAAAACATATCTTCTTCAGGGTCACTCAAGATACATTCTTCTAGAACGTTACGTTTTCTGCGTGATTCGCTTTTCTGTTTCCGTTAAGGTCGTGGTCATTTCCGGACTCTGGGATATTAGGCCCCAAGCGCCAATTCATGGACTAGCACCCTTTTTTGTGTGTAACTTAAGTTTAGTCATTTTGGTTTGGGTGCTACGTCTTCCATTTCTTTTTTATGGGATTTTGACCCTCAGCGGTAAGTCTTTTTTATATACCTTCGGACCACGTGCCTTAATGAGTGACTTGATGACGTTTGTTCAATATCTGCTTTCTTTTAGTCAATAGAAACAGAAGAGAATCATCATCCTTTCTCCTCCAGTTGGTTGCATCTTGTTGCAGTTTTGCAAATTGGTGGAAGCTATCCTCTTGAAAAAAAACCTGATGTGAACAGGTAAAATATCTAACTTTTTAGAACAAGGGTATATTAGTTTATACTCTAGGCGCTGAAGAAAGAAACTAAACCCAAACAAATACACGCATATTGCTCGTGAGTGAGTGTTTAGGCGCAGGAGACATTATAGGACCGCATCAAGATATTATGGGTAGTCATCAAAAATTTCATACAAGATAATTATTATCTTTTACAGCAAATTTCAGTTAGAGATTCACAAATGAGTTAACTACACTTTTTAGTTATTAGTAAGTAAGCTGCGCGCACTCATTCAGAAGAGGAACTTGAATCTTCTGAATCGTTTAAATGAATTATTAGAGGTTCAATTTGGGTATCGATGACTGTCCAAATCCCACATTTTGACCTCAACCTTCTCCCGAACGTGGCGGATACAGTTTTTCCATTCCTCTGCCGTAACTCTATTGACTGCGATGTGAAAGAGATTTTTAACATCAGAAAATTTATAAGTATTATTATTCGACGCCACGTATTGCTTTATGTTGGCCCAAATCAGCTCAATAGGGTTCAGCTCACAATGGTAGGGTGGCAGTCTCAAGACAGTTTTATTTTGTTTTTTGGCCATTTCGTCGATCATTTTAAAATCGTATTTGTATTTATGTCTATTGACTATGCTTATCAATTCACCCTTGACCATTGTTTCATCAAAATCGATCTGTTTTGAGGCCAGCCATTGTTGTATGTTTGCTTTTTTAGTTGCCATTGTGGGAATTTTTTCTGTTTTTCTAGAATGGTACGGGGCATTATCCAGTACAATAACAGCGTTATTCTCCAGCTTTAGTAACATTTTGGAGAACCAATTTTCAAAGGAATTGCCGTCCATCTCCTCATGATAGTCCCCTGTCTTTTTTGATTCAAAGGCCCACAGTGCTTCGGGAACAAAGCCGTCTTCACTACCTACGTGACAAATGATCAGCCGTTTGCCTTTTCCTGGAAATAAATTATTCCTTACACTATGGATTGATTAAATTTGAAGGAATGAGGCAATTGAGTTCATTTAGCTGAATTTAAGAGTCACGGAATGCTGATCAAAAACTGAAAAACGTAGAAAATTGAAGTTTGCAACTTCTCAAAACCCATTCAAAGCAAATTGACTGCACCCAAAAATGATAATAAATTTCAAAATAACGTTTAAAAGAGGGTCGAAGTTTTTTTCCTAATGACTACACTGCGAATGCACCATTTTTGGAGAATATCACACATTATCTGCTATCACAGCATATTATTTGCCCGAATTTATCAAAATTAAATTGCCGGATAGATGAAGGAGCTTACCTGCAGGATTTTTCAATCCAGCCGAAAGACCGTCTAGAAAAGCCTGCCTTGATGATGTTACTGATTTGTCGACCCAAACTTTCGCTTGAGTATGTCCAGCATTCACCCACGTTTCGTCCAAATAGTAAATTTTTCTTTTTTCATCGCGAAACTTCCGAATCTTCCTAAGGTATTCCCTTCTCCACACAACAATTTCTTCTTTCTCTATTAACATACTGTTTCTTCCCCGTTTCAAGAATCGAAAAAGTTCCTTCAAAAGTTTTCGGAATGTGGTTCTTTTAAATGATGGAAGATCCTCATCAGCATTAACTAATCTTAATATCTTATCTACTGTAGGTATCTCATTTCGGAAGAAAAAATTATGCACTTTCCTCCTGATGGCAGTTCTGTCAAAGTCATCTACTCCGTCCGTTGTCCTTTTTCTTGCAGGATACGGTTTTGGCTCAGAAAGTGAGTGAGTGCTCCTATATTCCTTAATGATCCTATAAACACTGGACCGACATACTCCAGGAATATGTGCTACCTTACATATAACTTCGTCCACGACCAAATCGGGTTTTTCTTGAATTTGGTTTTTGTATATATTTAATATTATTTGTTTTTCATTTGCACTTAAATGTAGCTTCTTAGCCCTTTTTTTGGGTGGGGTTACGCTGATGTCAACCACTTCGTCGGCTGTATCTGTGTCAGACATCGTATCTTAGGCAATATATAAACAAAACGTTCCACTCGCGAAAAACGAGTATACGCTACTGAATGCGTAATGCATATGCAATGCAATCCTGTGCGTGAATTAACTGTTAGATGCCTGTCGTGTCATCTACAATCACGTTTACAAGTCCAAACCTGTGCAGATTCGTAGAGCGCCGACGACTGCTAGTGACCTTGAATTTGTCTGTAGATCGATGTTACTCCAGTCAATTTAGGTTCAAAGTGGATGTTTTCTAAACCAATTTGTTGTTCCTACATCAAAAATATATCGATGATGTTTTGTACTGGGAGCTCATGAAAGATCAAGGTAACTTATTTTAACAGTCATCCTTTTTCTAGTCTCAAGATGACACGAAAAAGGGTCTGTGGATTCACTAGAAATACACTGCCGAGGATGTTTAGACCTAAAGTGACTGGAGTATATCCGTGGATGCTTTCGAGGGATCTGTTCACGTGCTGATCACTGTTTACGTTTAATGTCTTTCTTCAGCGCCCAGAGTTTAGTACATTTTTATCTTTTTTTTTTGGTCTTTGCTTTACTTTTCTTGTACCAAAAAAATGTAAATGGTTTTGCTTCAAATGCGATTGTTTTCAATGAGTAGTTTTATCTCAGACAGAGAGTAGAGTACATTTTTAAACAGTCTTTCTCTCTCTAGGGTTTTTTACTACCATAATTTTTGGCAACGAGGCAAGCAGCCCCTGCCCAGTGACGTGCCCACTACTGGCCACTTTTTGACCAGAGTTGAGGACATCTCGGCCGCGCCTGACAAAGAAGTTTAATATTGGGATCGAACTATGCCCTGTTACACGTGAAAACGGATATAAGAAATCAAAAAGGAATTTAAATAATTTATTTGGTAGGAAGGACGAAAGAAGTATGTGCTTGATCTAGAGCCACACGTTGAAAATTGAACATTTTCGTAACGTTCGTGTGACGATTCCTGCAGTTCCCACCAGCTGAGCTATTTTATTCGGTGTTGCCGACCCCGTTGTAACACTGCACTAATACCACATGCCGATCTACTGATTATAGAATAGACGAACTCTAGCGATGCGTTGTACCTTGATTTTGCATCAATGTGGTGCGTATATGTATGAACAAACGCATCGAATTCCATGGGTGGAAGCTACTGGAAAAAAGGTAGGATATTTGTTTAGGAATAAGAACAACTTATCTCCACAAGACCTCATCACTCTGTACAAAGCCCAGATAAGACCTAGCGTCGAGTACTGCTCACATGTTTGGAGTGCTGCCGCCACGACTATACTATCCATGCTCCGTCGGCGATCTAGCTCTCTTCTACCGCTATGTCAACGGACTTTGCTCCTTATAGTTATCCTCCACGATGCCGCTGCGCGATGTGCTTGCCAGACAGACCCGCCTGTCTTCGGCTTAGCATCCTGACAGTGTTGAACAAAGTAATGTTTTCGCCATTTTTTTCCACTAGTTGCGATGAATCCACCGACATCGTTAATTGTGCACAGTTAATAGTTTATATTCGTTACATCGGCGGAGATATCATTCAAGAAGAGATTTTGTACTCCCCATCTTTGACAGCAGGTACTACATCTGAAGATATATTTAATTCATTGTTGAAAAAAATTATTTGGATTGGAAGAAACTCATTGGACTTTGCACAGATGGCGCACCTGCAATGATAGGTGTACGATCGGGCTCAGCTAAAAAGCTCAAGGAAAAAAATCCCGCTAGGGTTAGTACACATTGTGTTATTCATCGGCAAGCTCTGGCTTCCAAAACATTGCCACAGAAATTACGCCAGACTTTGGACTCGCCTATAAGTATTGTAAACTACATGGAGTGCAGCGCTTTGAACAGTCGGTTATTTACTTTACTTTGCGAGGATCTCGATTCTGATCACAAAGTTCCTCTGTTCCATACAGAAGTACGCTGACTGTCCAAAGGTAACGTGTTGCCTACTCTTCTTTTGATCAAGTTTTTCGATACAAAAAAAATGATTGGTTTATTTAAACTTTTAAAGTTTCTTTATTAGAATTGAGATAAAAGTCTTTGTCCCTATATAATGTGCGTTTTTTGTATTCATTGAAAAAGTAAATGGCATGAAAATATAATTTATAGTCCGGGGAACCTCAACAAAAAAAAGGTTTTTGAAACCCTGCACTAGATTGACACTAAATTATCTAACTGTCCATTGCAGAACAGTTGGTGCATCGGCAGCGAAACGTCCGGCACGCTGTTAGAGTACCGCATTGTAGAAATGTCAGTATTTTGGCGCGCATCCAGCGTCGCGGCGCTCTTGTTAACCGCGGCGCGGCGTCCACCGCACCGTCGCGCCGCGTCGCCTTGTCTCGAAATATCCTCCGGGTAAATGCCACCTAGCAATAATAGACGACGACGCCGGCGGCAAAAGCATCGCGGCTGGCGCGGCGTCAGCGCCATCGCATCGGCTGGCGCACTATGCAACATGCGACGTTGCCAGCTCCACAGAAAATATCCTCAGATCAAGGAATTTCTGTTTTGCGGTACGGTACATTTTTCCGAAATTTCGGTAAAGTTTTAGCTTCGGACAAAAACAAAAATCATTTCTAAAAGATTAGTAACTAAGTCTTGTTTTAGGAAATTTTGTTCACACACAGTACAAACAAACTGTTTTGAGTATTCTGCCTGAAATTGAGCTTAAGCCGAAATCGAAAGTTCGGTCGGAAATTAATTACCTGCCACCCTGATTGTTTCCAAGTTTCAGCCTCATTGTAGCCACAAAAAAAAAATTGCTACCACACAAATGTGATTTACTAAAAAAGCTTTCGTACAACTGCTGAAAATATTCAGCACCCACTGAGAATTTGCAGTACTTTTTAGCATTTAATTAATGGTAGTAGCCCTGCCTACGCATAGGTAAATATGGGTGTCTTCCATAACATACCCATGAGAATACACAAAACAGTATTAATATACATAGGGCCGTAGGGCTATGGGACCAAAAATTTCCCATAACCATAGACCCTCAAATGCCAAAGTTATAGAATTGAAATTCTTTATAGCGTAATAATCGAGTCTTAGACTACATCAGCTGCATAGAAAGTGGAATACTTTGATTACATCCTGAAAGATGAAAAATATTTTCAACGCGACCGTGATATCCGAAGACCGGGGCCCTCGAAAAGAAAATAGTATTTTGGAGCGAAAATTGGCACTTTGGAAGCTTTTGTGCGGTTATGTCATTGACATGATTGAATATGTTCCATCGCTGTGGTGATGTCAATTTAAAATTGAATTGATGGCCGATTATTAAAGAAGCTTGAACGAATAAGCCCATGTACTTTTTCACGATGGATGGAAAAAGGAAAATTGATTTTCCGGGGCGTTCCAAAATTGTTGCATGTTAAGTCAATATATCAGTGCAATGTTCAATAATAAGCAATAAAAACACATTAATATATGCGCCTTTGCTTAAATTACACTGATCAACAGCCAAAAAATATCCTAAATAAAATCAACAAAATATTACTATTTTTAATGTGCTAAAACCGGAATGAAACTTATTTTTTCAATATTAGTTCAAGTTTTAAAGATACGGTAATTATATGTGTTCCTGCTGTGACAGTGTTAATATACTGTAATTCACAAGAATGCACGTGCTACATTTTTATATTCGGCAAGGAAAGATGATGTAATCGGCATGATTGTGTTACGTTATACATACGTGTACATTATATTGTTTTATATTAGCCATTTTTTCCTCAGTTGGCTGACAGCGTTCATGCAAGATGTCTCGAAAGTGTGAAAACAATCCAGATCCGTTTTGTTACGTGTGTGGTGATGTGACTTTTGCGTCTCAGAGACGGTCTATTACTCCACTAATAACAAAGGTATATCAGCTTTATTTCGGTTGTAAACTAGGTGATCAAGACAAACAGTGGGCACCCCACATCTGCTGTAATACATGTGCTTCAAGTCTGCGGAGCTGGTTAAATGGCAAAAAACGGTCTATGCGCTTTGCTGTCCCAATGGTTGGAGAGAGCCTACAAATCATATTAATGCATGGTACCTTGTGTTGGACAAGCCACAGGTATGTCCAAGAAAAAAAAATCGGTTATTAACTACCCAAACATACCATCTGCGATGAGACCTGTGCCTCACATTGACGAAAATCCTATTCCAAAACCCCCAGAATCCTACACTTGCGAATCAGAAAACGAATCAGATCATGGCGATCGAGTGATTCATCAGGAAGAAGATATGCCATCAACGTCAAGAGATCCTGATTTTATACCGAGCACGTCATGCCACCATCCGCACAAAATAACACAGTCAGAATTAAATGATCTTGTAAGAGATTTAGAACTTCCAAAATGTAAGGCAGAGTTACTTGGATCAAGACTGCAGCAGTGGAACTTGTTAGAAGACGATGTTTCGGTATGTGTTTTTCGTAAACGCCACAAAGACTTAGAACCATTTTTCAATATGGAGAATAACTTGGTTTTCTGGAGTAACATTAACGGCTTACTGGCGGCTTTAAATATGAACTATAACCCAGAAGAATGGACATTGTTTATAGACAGTTCAACATTGAGTTTAAAGGCAGTGTTATTGCATATTGGAAATATTTTACCATCTCTTCCTGTAGGGTATGCAGTTCACATGAAAGAATCATATGACAATATGAAGTACCTATTGACATGCATAAAATACGATGAGCACCAATGGCATATTTGTGGCGATTTGAAAGTTGTTGCACTTTTACTTGGGCACTTCATTACACCAGACAAAACTGGCCTGTTCGTCAATTCCTAGAGCCAGGTCAAAAATATGTACAGCATATGCCATTAGTAGATTCGAAAAAAATTTTATTACCACCACTGCATATCAAGTTGGGCCTAATGAAAAACTTTGTCAAGGCATTAGATAGAGATGGGTCAGCTTTTCAATACCTGCGTCAGAAATTTCCCAGACTAAGTGAGGCAAAGGTTAAAGAAGGTATTTTTGTTGGGCCACAGATTCGAAATATTTTGAAAGATACACAGTTTGAAAACACTTTCACAGGTATTGATAAAACTGCTTGGAATGATTTCCGTCTGGTGGTCACTAATTTCTTGGGAAATAGAAAAGCTGACAACTATAAAACCCTTGTCAAAAATATGCTGTCATCGTATCAAAAGATGGGCTGTAATATGTCTCTTAAGATACATTTCCTACACTCACACCTGGACTTTTTTCCTGACAATTGCGGAACCGTAAGTGATGAGCACGGCGAACATTTTCATCAGGATATTTCAACAATGGAAAAAAGGTACCAGGGAAAGTGGAATCCTTCGATGCTTGCAGACTACTGTTGGACTCTTGGTAGAGATGCTCCAGAAACGATCCATAAAAGAACAGCAAAAAGACAGCGCATATAGTGATTCTTATAAGTATATGAATCTTGTTACTTTTTTTAATATATTCTTAAAATAAAAAGTTTTTTTTCTAAACCGCAACATTTTTTTATTTCATTGTCATTTTTGGATTCAGCGCCCCAAAATTAACAAAGAAGTGCACTTTTCCCACAAGATACAATTAAAAACCTAAAATTTGTTGTCCAGTGTTATATATTAGTAACAACCTATGTAATTAAAAAAACAATTTTTCAGGCTCTTCTCATTATTTATATTAATAAACTGTGAAACCTATTCGACATTTCGTACTTTCCGAACTCAAACAGCATATCGCACCTAGAAAAATTATTTAGGACTGGTTTTTAAAATCTCCTCAAAAATTCAAATGACTTTCGAGGTCTATGAAATGACTGAATCAAGTGAAAAGCATGCATAGTATAAAGATTTGGCAACATCATGACTATCGAACGAACATTAGCGAGTAAAGGTATTCAAATACTGCCGCATCTAATTCTGGCAGTTTGTTATGAAGGTAACACATCCTATTCGTGTGAACATACTTTTCGTCTGACTCCGTTGAAAACGAGGTCGAATTAAATCATCTACACTCCGGAAAACTGACACGCTTTGTTAGACTAACGTATACCAGGTAAACATCACAACTTCTTTAAGGCACTCAACTCGGATGCACTCAAATATCTTATAAGAACGAAGTTTCAAGTGCGATAGGAGGAGGTTGCGAGGGTGATTTAAAAACAGGGGCGTATAAAGGCTAAGGAAAAAGCAAGAACTTTATAACATTTATGGAAACGTTGAAACTATCAATCAATTGGGAGTCGAAGACAGTGCGATTTATCAGACAAGTTTGTCCTTCTGGTCAGGCAATGGTTGGCCAGCCATCTGTGCACCAATCAATATTTGAGAATAGCTAGAAAATTTGTACAAACCAAGAACGACAAAAAACTGCCTTCAGTTCTGTTCTAGCATGAAGTGGTTGTTTAGGGAAGGGGCTCTATGTCACTGGAAATATCTACGTGCCAAGAAAGAAAGCTGCAGTATCAAGCTTTTTACTTGAATAATGTGTGCATAGGAAAATGAAAATGTTATCTTTTAGAAAACAAATAGAATTTTGTTTTAGAAACCAAATAGAACAAACAGCCACGTGCATTGGAATCGCTTAAATTCAATGACCACCTGGCATCTCTTATCAAGCAAATTAAGCGAATGGCATGTTGGCCAACTTGATTTGCATATCGTCCCGTGTGTCTGGGCAAGGAAAATAGCTTAGTCGCGGCTCGGCGTTGTGATGCTGGAACTCCGTATTCGGCAAACCATGTACGGATCTAAAAATAAATCTCGCCAGCAGCAGCTTCAGCATTGCGATCGATGCTGGCCGAGTGCAGAGAGCTAGGCTAGAGAGATAAGCTCGGAAAACACCATTTGGTGGGATTTAAAGGTATTACCGGTGATCCAAATTGATGTTTGGTCAGGTGGAAGGGGTTGATATATCTTCGATAAAACGGTAAGGTGAGGAAAAGCAAGCTGACGCTCAGAGGCGCGCAAGTAGGGCTGTAGCCGCCACCCCTCCCTCTCCACCCCTGGAAATCCAAGTTGATCTTAAAATCTACATCTTCGTCACGATTTTGAGAAAATTTTCTACAGAAAGGTTTAAGGGCAGGTACAGTTTCACAAAACGATATCTGTCAGCGATGACTCCCCTGAGAAAATGTCTTGCCCCCGCCCATGCTAATGCTTGGATATTGAACTAAAGTGTCGAGCTACAATATGAACACTTTTGAAAGATTTCTAGTGACAGCCACAGCCGTTCTATGAAAAATAGCATGATTTCTAAGACTCATGAGTGAAAATTCGTGTATCTTGAAGAGGTGGCGAAGAATCTGAGGCCAGATTTTACTAAACCGAAGGCCAAAAAGCACGTGGATCGCAAATGTAACCAATGAGAAGGCGCCTTTGAAATAATGAAATGAATATGGTCAATTTCTTGTAGAATGTCTGTCCAGCTAGAGAAAGATTATACGTTTTGTGCAAGATGGGTTCCCATATTAAATCAAGAAATACGTCATAAATTACTTGGTTTAGCTACAAAAACTTATTTTATCATTTGCTGACACAAGGCACCAATCAAAAATAGGAATTTGCGCTATACTGCAAGCATGGACAAAAATCTGATCTGAATTTTATTGAAAATAACAGTCTCACTGGTGCTGCACTGTTATTTTCAAAACCTTCATTTCGCAGTAGGCTGTCATCGATGTCAAAAAAATTTTGATGGCGGCATCTATTTAGCACTTTGTAAATAGATTTTGTTTTAATGATTTGTTTTTTTTTTGTGCTAAATGTTACCAAGCTATGGAAAATAGTAATAATGAAACGTGTCAGTTGCATAGCAGGCTAAAATAAAGCCAATCAGTTTTGCAATACTCACATTCTGCCAGATATTTGACAGCTTTTCTCAAAAGTAGGTACAAAGAACCCCGAAGACAAGAAGGAAAAATCCAG